CTGGGGTGCCCCAGGTTTGGCTGGGGGACACCAGCAGCAGCTTAGGCTGCAGGATTGCTGTGGGCTGAGGTGTGCTTTCACACCAGAGCCCCTCCCAGAGATGGGCCTTGGACCACAGCGTGTTGCAGGTGTTTCAGGAAGGTGTTGGGTCACCACAGGCGTTCCAGCAACAGGCAAGGACCATGCCAGCATCATAAATGGCAACTGAAGGGGCACGGGGAGACCTTGCATGGGTCAGGAAGCAAGGGCTGGGGAGATGCTTGTGAACAGAGCTGCAAGATAGCACATTTCTCCTGTCTGCAGGAGTAAGGCAGATGGTTCAGTCACAAGGTCCTTGATTTCAGAGGGGTCCAGTGTGGTCTAAGGTGGTCCAAACAGCCCAGAGAGAGCAGCCCAGCCCGCCTGCTACTCCAGCACCAGCCCAGCACAGCTCTCTGGCTCAGCACACCCACTTTAAAGCACGTACTCCTGTATTTGGGTATAATCACATCCACACTGTACAGCCAAGGGATGAGAACAGCAGCATGTGGCGGGTGCCACTGAGCAGTGCAGTGGGAAAGCCCAGCCCTGCCGCTGGCTGCTCACACTGGCAGCACACAAGGAGATCCGTGATTAAGTGTCAGTGAAGAACAGACCTGTGAGCGCAGCGACCTGCCCATAGAACACTCCCGAAGAGGAAGAAAGGCAGCATAGCCTGAATTAGTTCTTTCTTGCAGATGATTCACTTGCTTCTAATTATAGTTGAGCTTTTAAACACAAATGTCAATTAAAATGTTATAGTTCTTCTGCAGCTGTCATTCATGAGCTGGGGAAGAGATCAAGGCCAGAGCTATTAAAAGCCTTGGGAGTGAAACAAGGTGGAAAAAGCCCTTTGTAGAGTAAAATTGTCAAGAAGGAGCTTTGCCCTGAGCACTTTAGGCCCAACAAAGCCATCATCTGTATTGGAAATATGCCTTCTGCTGCATTCCCAGCAGGCAAACAGGGCCTGTAGGGATAGTTTCTCATCTCTCTGAAAGTGCTGTGGTGCACACAGGCCCTCTGCCACCTTGAAGTGGTGTGGGGGAACAGGACAGGATACCTCTGCTCCTGTCTGCCTCCTCACCCGCAGGCAGGAAAGGAAGAAAGACTGGAAAAAAGCATAGCACCGTGTGAATCATCACACCAGGCTCCCCGCCTTCATGTTGGCGGGTGACTTGCAGGGAGTGGATGTCTGAGTAATAAAAGAGCTTATCTTGTTTCACCTCTGATAAAGAGGAACCTAGGAGATGGAAGACCTCAAGAGGAAGATGAGCAGAGGAGGAAGGGCAGTTCCTTCCAAGGCTTCATCCCTCCAGAGGAAGCCCCTTTGCAGGCGGTGGATGGCCATGGTTACCCTCCCTACACGTCCTAGCAGAACGCTGGCCAGACCAGTGCTGTAGGACCCTGCTTTGTTAGAAACCAGCCACCCTCGCACCACCTTGGCTGTCTGAGCACAACCTCCTAGAAAGCAGCAGCACCCAGAGGAGGAGCTCCCTTTCATTGAAGCCCCCGTGCCATATCCCTGTAGGCAGCAGAGATCTCTTCAGGCAGGCAGTCGTTGTGCCATATGAAGCACAGCCCTAAGCAGCATCTCTGCTTGTTCCACTAGTTAAACTTTGGCCGACTGTGCCCAAATAGCTTGGGTGAGACACCAGCCGCCCAGTGAAGACTCCTAAGGCAAATTAGTAATGTGCTGCCTCCTGTTCAGCATGCTCAGGAACATCTCAGCTGTTAACTCTGCAGCCTGTGAGCATTTGGAGTTTACAGTTATTTTATCTCCCTAGGACAGATGGCAGACAGCGCTGTGGTAGAGGGGCAGATGGCTGTGCACCTATGAGCAAAACAGAAACCAAAAGCCTGCATGGGTAAGCTGAACAGTAAGTGGGCTCTGCTCCTGTTCCCAGCCACAGCACATAAACCCAGACACATCCATGTGACTTTCATCTCATCTCACACATGCAGGATGTAGCCCTTAGGGTTTCATAAAACATCAGATACATAAAGAAACAACCAGATGTAATCTAAGGATAAGGAAGTCACGGCACAAGGTGAGAGCAGCGAACCACTGCATTCACACAGGCTGATCTCCCTCCTTCCCCATCATGGGGAAGACAGCCAAGTCCTCCTGCCCAGGGCTGAATTATCTCTCTTGGCATGAAGATAATACTCCTGCAGCCCAGGAGGGTGCCAGCACACAGCAAAGGGCACAGTGGCAGCTCCTGCTCTCAATAAGGATTTATTACACAAAATTGTCAGGACTTGTCGCAAAAAACCAAAATGGCTTTGCCCCCCCTTACCCTTTGGTTTGATGCTGATCCTGCGGCTCCTTCCCAATGCCAGATACTCTGCAGCTCCTTGATTCTATGCCTGCATGAACACACCCATGCCTCTTGGAGGAGCACTCCCCAGGCTTTGCAGGTTCACCCTCATGTTTTCATGTAACCCACACTGGAAATCAACCTGTAAGTTACAGATTAAAGGGAGACAATAAAGGAACACTCAGTGAGGAAAAATATCTGCTCCTCATTCCACTAAAATAAACAGCAAGGCTCTCCAGTTAGATGCTGTTAGATTTCACCTACGTAGTGAAATCAAATGGCCCACATTTAAGCCTTATTGCTTAATGCCAGCTGTACTAGCCAATCCAAATGTGAAACAGTGTAAGCCTGGGAGAAACAGCATCCTGAGAAACTCAAGCAGAGCTTTTTACAATGAAGTCTTCCAACAGAAGAAATAGGCAAATAAGACAAGGCTGAAAAACTACTTTTACACTTCCATGTCCCACAGAATTAAGTGGTTAAACCTCTAGATTCTTATTAGACACTGTGCTCCTCCGAGAAACATCAGCTTCCTCTTAAAAAGAGATCAAAACGGTCAGACCTACAGAAGGGATGTCCTTCCTGGTCACCAACAAGCTAAACTTCAGCTCTCTGAAGCCGACATTGGGAAACCCACGTCCTGAGCATTGTGGGTGATTTTTCCCAAACAATTATTTTTCTCCACCATGAACGTTGCTTTGCCCTTTTGGCCTTGACTTTATAATTAGTCTCTCTGGACAGAAAGTGAACCTTTGCTTGACTTGCTCACAAAGAAGTAATTGTAATCGTTAGCTAACCTTGTCCTCTGGGGGGGTTTAATGCCAGGCTACATCCTGTGTTCACCAAAATTCCCACCACTCCTTTAGGGGACGCTGCCTGAGTTTAGCAGCAGTCATCCAGGCACAAGGTAGGAGATACCCAGAGTGTAAAACAGCTGCCAACTGTCAGAGCTCTTGGCAGGAGCTGCTGAACAGCAGAGCCCAGTGGTCTCCATCAGTGACACATGCCCAAGGAACAGTAGTGCAACACCTGGTACAGGCTTCCTTGTCTTCCACTGGGGGTGGTTTATTAAAGCAAATAATGATGAAGAAACTCACTGTGCAGTTTCCTTTGTTTTCTGGTTTTTAAATCAAAGAGGTGGAACAAGTCCAGCAAAGGGTCATTAAGATGATTAAGGGACTGGAAAACCTTTCGTGTGAGGAGATGCTCTAAGAGCCGTGACTGTTCAGCCTGCAAAAGAGAAGGCTCAGGAGGGATCTTATCAATAAGTATAAATACCTGGTAGATGGAGCCAGACTTTCCTCAGCGCTGCTCAGTGACAGCACAAGGGGCAACGAGCACAAAATAAAACACGGGAAACCCCACTTGAACACAAGGAAAAACCTTTTACTGTGATAGAAGTCAAGCATGGAGTGCCCAGAGAGGTTGTGGAGCCTCCCAGCTTGTAGATATTCAAAACCCAACTGGACATGGTCCTGGGCAACCTGCTTAGGTGATTCTACTTGAGCAGGGGCTTGGACTGGATGACCTCCAGGTGTGCCTTCAAACTAAAAGATTCTGTAATTGCTATGGGCTTCTTGGGTCTGTGGGAGACCGGGCCACTGAGGACCCTGAGCCCCTCCTGCCTTGTGCTACAAAAAGTTTGGTCGGATTTAAGAAGCCAGACTTAGAAGAAACACTCTGGGAACATGGCAGAAGCTGTTTGAAATAATAGCCTGATTCCATTAGGAAATTTGTTATTTTGGGAAGGGAATATAAAACATCATAAAATAAGAAAACGTTTGATCATCAAAGGGCTCTTAGAAAGAATGTGAACTTGCTCGCACTGAGAAAAGCTCATTTTTAGCCTGGTTTCATGAAGAACAAAGACTCACAGGATCACACTGTCTTGTCTGCCCAACTGTCTGCCAGCCCCTTTGTACAAGTGAACTCCCATCACTTTGGGAAGAGGGGAGAGGTCTCAGAGCAGGAGGTGTCATGAAAACCTGCAGCTGAGGAAGAGATCAATGCCGTTGGTGTCCTCTCTGTGGGAAAGGCAGGGACAGCCCAACCCTGATCTGCTCAGTGCAGCCAACAGGCAGATCAGTGCAGACCCAGCCTTGCCACAGTTCAAACAACAGGTCAGAAAGAAGTAAGGATGTGATTTAGGATGAGCCCAAGACTATCGAGCAGAAGCTGAGGGTCCTGTAGGAGAATCAGGGGTTGTGAAGAGGAGCTGGAAATAGCATCTACCAGAAGCACAGAAATACGTGATGGAGGTGCCTCATCAGGCCACTTACTGTCATCTGTTTGCCATTCGGGATGCCCCCAGTCCCATCAGAGGCATATCACTGCTGCAGCACAGCCAGACACTGTCATCCTCTGCAAGAAAATACAGCTCGAGATCTAGGCAGAGGTGCCAGGTGCTGCAGCATCCCAGACACGTCTGGCTTTGCTTTGCCAATGCTGGGACCAGGATCCAACCTGGGGGGGAAAGGAGTGACCAAGCCCCATCCTCTCTACAGCCCTGAGGCAGATCCAAGCTCCCCCTTCAACCCAGACCCTTTTCCATCTGCCCATGCATGCTGAGAACATGGGGTGAAGGGCAGAGAGACGGAAGCTGGGCAGCAGAGGCCTGGATGTGTGCAGGGTTTGGTGGGTGACTAAGCCAGTTCATTGCACTGACCTGGAGGGGGACAAGGGCTGAAGTCTATGCCTAGGTGCTTTTTAGTCTGTAACGGGCACGGGGAAGTTTGTCACCTCCTGAATTCTGATCCACCCACTTTCACAAGGAGGAGGTGAAGGCTCTCTGCTCACATCAACTGTAATGCCCATGCACTGAAGAGCTCATGGTCTCATCTTAAACACAGAACTCCCATCAGCTCCCAAAGAGGCACCTGGAGCAGAAGCTTTCCTTTTGAATGTACTTCTGTCTCAACTTACTGTAGCCCCCAGTGTTCAAGTTGGGGGAAAACCCCTCTAAGTGTATTTGAAGCAAAACCGTTGACTAACAATAGCCTAGGATGGAAATTAATTTGTTCAGTGTGCATCCATGGGTAGAGTTCAAGTTAAAATCAGCCTGGATTTGAGAAGTGTATGAAACTGGGAGTAGTGCAAGGTTAAAACAGCTCCTTACAGCTGTTTGGGTTGGGGTTTTTCCTTCTGTGAAAGAGACATTTCTAGGACCAAGAGATAAAACCATTTCTGCCATGGAAATGCAGTCAGCTTGACACTGTGTCTGTGATTTTATTGCTTTTGCCATTTAAAAAATGACCAATTTTGGTGCAGAAGCTTTTTACCTCCTTACAGAAAAATGGAATTTGTTATGCAATAATAGTATTTTGTTACAAGGGTTAGTTACTTATTTGCATGGAAAATGGAAGGCATAAGGAGAAAATGCATAATGCAAATTCTGTTTATGATGTGAATTTATCAATTGATTGCTAATATCTGTAATTTTAATACTACTGTAGAGATTGCTTTAAAATTTTGATTGAATTTAGTGCAAGTGTTGAATCTGTGCTTTTTATATTCTGCATTGTATCAATTTCTAAAATAGCACATATTTGGACTAAGAGTGTGAACAAATCTAAAGATGTCAAAGCAATCACATCAGCAGCAATCACAGCAAATCAGGCTTTTCATTGTGGCTGATTAAAAACATAGGAATAACCTTTCCTCCACATTGCTTTGCTCAGGGCTGGTTTCTAGATCCTTCCATGTAGGAGACATAAAGTTTGCCAACATTTCACATAGAGCCCCCAAATTCCCTTTTCTGCACAAAGGAGAGGTAGAAAAAGGCTGCTCAGTGAACATTAGCACTAACACCTTTTTATAGATAGCTTCTAATCCCTCTTTAGCTGGATATCATTGGGTCTTCCCCATGTCCGCCAAAGTGTTTCTCTTCTAACAGTATCTCTGAATCCCTCCATAGCCATAACCCTCCCCAAAACCACCTGCATGCAGCAACCCAACCTAATTCTAATAGGTGGCAGAGGATAAAGAGGAGTAATAATTAAGTGCATGCTGCAGCTTTTCAAGCAAGAACTGACTGTCTTTCAGATCCTGTCCTATCCACCAAATTAATTTTAAATCACTAAAACAGCTAAAAAAGAGGTTTTCAGGGGCAGTGGTCAAAGTGGTAAGGAGTGATAAACAGACACAGAATCCCAGACTGGTTTGGGTTGGGAGGGACCTTAATGTTCATCCAGTTCAAACGCCCTGCCGTGGGCAAGGACACCTTCCACTAGAGCAGCTTGCTTCAAGCCCCATCCAAGCTGGCCTTGAACACTGCCAGGGACGCAAAGAAATAGGGAGATGAACAGTCTGGGAAAGGTTGATCAAGAAAATATCATGTCATCAGAAAACAAGCTGGAAAGGAAGGGGGGGAAGAGAAAACCCCACAAGCTAAAAAACATGGTATTTCCATTAAAAAAAAAGAAATAATCTGAAAAGATCAAAAGTACACACTTCAATCTATAAAAAACTTCTGGATTTAAAACTACTGCTGAAAAAGTAGCTTGTGTAATAAAGGGGGAAAAGGATGTGCTCAGAAAAGTTCTTATTGGAAAAATAAGAACTTTTTTACAGCCAGAAAAATGTGATGTATCTGTTTGAAGTACAGAACAGAGACCCGTGTGGACCTGGGCCCCTGGGATCTCAGTGTAACACCTGGAAGTCACCAGGATACCTATCACTCATTATCAAATGTGGTGTTGTATTATTGTTATCCCATCCTTGATCTCAGCTCTGGAGAGGGTTCAGAAGAGCCTGAGCTCTGTTCCCCCACCTGCAGTGAGTGATGTTGATGGAGACCCAGCGTTCACACAATACACACCCAGATAACTTCACTGCAGCTTTAGCCCAGTCCTTTGGGCTCAATCTCCGCCAGCAGCTGGAGCACTTACGAAGCGCTCCTAAAATGCTTCTGACAGTTTAATGCTGTCCAGAAGGAAGTGAGTTCATGCGCTCCCCTGGAGCACTCCACAGTGCCTCTTCAAGCACAGTAAATTCAGCAACGGAGGCTTTGCTCTAAAAGCTCATTTCTGAATTAGAATCTTACCATTGCAGCAAAGGAGCAGGGGCATCAGGAGCTTCAGAGGGATTGCGAACATTTACTGGTCCCAGCAGGCAATTCTGGCAACCTGTCAGTTTATCCTCTTCTTTTTCTGAAGAGCCAACTGGGAAGCTGGGAACTGCCCTTCAGTGAAGGATCAGGGATTGAAACAAGGATCTTGACAGGCAGGAGCTGAGGAAGATGAGCATTTCACATACTCAGGATGCAGCAGATCTGAGCCTTTCCCTCCACAGATTTAACAAAATCATGGAAAGGAGGTGCTGTCACAGGCTTCAGGTCCAAAAACCTTGATATGTTCAGGCAATCTTGCAGCTGTACAGGATCCCTTTATGGTCAGAATTGGAATCCAGTGGGAGCTGGAGCTGTTTCTCTTCCACCAGCATGAAAAACTTCAATAACAAAACCCAAACACAGGGAAATAATGCAAATAAGCACAAACCTTCTGAGGCAGGGCTAGGTGAGGGAGAAGAGGAGCTAGAACTGAGAACAGGAGCAGCTTGTGTGTGTGGTGATTTAAATAGGGAGGTCTGAGGTAGTAAATCAGGGCATCTGCTCAGAGAGCATCCAGATGGGGCAAACGTGAGGCCTGGAAGAAGCTTTACACAGGCAGAGACTGATGGGCTGAATGGGCTGAAACAGGGTTGCAGAGGACAGAGCTCTACAGAGAGGAAAGATGAATGCATGTGAAAACTCTGGGGTATGTGCAGGAAATAACAACACATAAATGGCCCCAGTAAACAGATGTGAGGACAGTCTGGGTAAAAACCACCCAAACCAGCAGACCATCGAGAGGAGGGAAAGGCCAAGCAGGGGGCTGAGAAGCTGCAAGAACCACAGGGCAGAAAATCAAAGTTTCAAAGATCCATCTGACTGCAGAAAGAGAACGCAAGTCCTGAGTGAAATCTCAGGAGTGCCAAGTCAGGGTGGCTTTCAACCTCCAACCAGTATCTCGCATATATGAGCTCATCTACATCTCCATTTCATTAATGCTGATTCTAAACAACATGCTATATTTGTCTAAAAGCCTCAAAGAGTTCCACAGGGTTAGAAAACTTTGCCTAAGACTAACCCAAAACACTAACACTAACCCTAACACTAAATCATAATACTAACAGTAACCCCAACCCTAACGCTAACACTAACACTAAAACCACACACTAAACCTAAAAGTAAACCCTAAACTTACCCCTAAGCCTAAAACTAACCCCTAACCCCTAACCCTAACCCATAACTCAAACACAAAACCGCTAACCCGAAACAATAACCCTAAACCTAACCCCCTAACCACTACCCCTACCCTAACCCCGGAACAATAACCTCTAAAACTAAATATAACCCTAACCCCCTAACACTAATCCCTAACCCTAAACCCCTAACCCTAAAACTAACCCCTAACACTAAACCTAACCCTAACCACCTAACCCCTAACCCTCTAACCCTAATCCCTAACTCTAACCCTAACCCTAACACCCTAACCCTAACCCACTAACCCTAACCCCAACCCCCTAACCCTAACCCCCTAACCCTAACCCCTAACCCTAATAGGGCCTCAAAGAACATCCCAAGCTGCACCCCAGGCAGGCTCCTCTCCAAAAACAAGAGGCAAAAAGGCCTTTAACCTTCCATGTGAGAAGGTTTCTCCCCTTCCATGTGAAGGTCTGCCATGCCTTCACAAATGTGTTCTCAACCCTTTCCTCTTCACATCCTGAAAACCAGCAGTAGTTCATGCATGATGCAGTGCTTGCGCTTGTGATGGGACCCCAATTTAGACACCACTTTGAGGTGTTTCTGCTCAGCATTTCTCCCCAAAATGAGCTCCCCAGTGATCAGTCAGTTCAAGGACAGGTATTATTTATAAAACGCATTAGCTTTCACACAGAAAGAAAAATCAAAGTGTCAGAATAGAATTAGATCAGATAGCACAGACATGAAAAGGCTCATTAGCAGCTTTCCCCCGCCTCCAGAGCCCTTGTGAGCGGGTCCCTGCTTCCAGGCTTGCTTTCAGCCAATTCAGCAGCTTTCTGAAGCTGCAGCAGGTTCTGCACAGTCCTGGGAAGTTCCATTCCTGGAAGTTTCATCCCTGGGAGTTCTGTTCCTGTTTATCCCAACAGCCCAGCTTCCTCCCGCTGCTGCTTTATGTTCTTCCTGCCGCCTTGCAGGCTTGGCTGCTCTCGGAACAGCAGCAGTTTCCCTTTTCCAGGGGAAACAACCATTCACTCTTCCTCCAGAGAAGCAAAACACATAAAGGAGCGAGCCAACCAAGCAAACACTATTGCTCAAAGAGGGAATGGCACCCAATGGTGACATTTATACATGTAGGCACGACGGGGAGGGGTTCATCTTATTTCACTTTCACTGTCCTGACACTAGACACTGGAATCTGATGAGGCAGCTCTGATTTCCCCAGCCATCAGAGGAGATGTAAGTGTCCCAGCACATCTGCCCCACTCAGGGCACCTCCCCTGGGTAAATGAACCACCCCCAAGTGTCTCCACCATTCAGGAAAAGGACTGGACACAAAAGAGGGGTGACACATCCCGCCTCACAACAGCTCTCTGCTGCCCAGGGAGCTCAAAGCAGATGTTTACTGTCACAAGCCCCAGTACCTGAGACAGTCGCTGCTTACCATGACCCACTCCTCCCTCCCCCCGGTGTGATGGATGCTCTTCATTGCTCATACAGCAGGCAGGAATGTTTAAATCTCTGCTCAATAGAAAATGGATTTTTTGTCAAAACAAGGAACCTCCAATAGGAAATTGTGTGTTACAGTTTCCACTAAAACAAAACAGAGAATGGGAATGGAAATGCTTTGGGAAATGAGATCTTATTTTTCTGACCAACCAGAGGCACTGTTTTAGCTGCCCTGGTGCCTCACAGCCACCCTGCCCAGACACTGCCTCCATCCTCCCCACCCTGCTTCTCAGTGCATGGTCCTCCACCTCCAGTGCAGCCCAGGGGCTGTCTCCCCTGTGGTACTGAAGGTTGATACTGAATGGTGGCATCAAAGGATGAATCTGTGATTTCTGAAAAGGTTATTTTCCTTCTCGCATATATGCCTGATGTTGCTGCATATGGAGGGAGAACAGATACAGATATTTAGGCTGCTGATGGAGGATGAGCACACATGTACCTATCATCAATTTTGCTTTTTCAGTGAGGAGCGATGATGCAGTCCCTCCAGCCCCTGGGTATCTGCATCACTGGCCCACATACTATAAATCAGATATTCAGTCCTTCCCCTGCCCCCAGTTTTGGGCCCGACTTAGCAGCAGACAACTAAAAATAAAACAAAACAACCCCCAGATCCGCCTGGTTTATCCCCCAGGGCCCAAACCTTTGGGTTATGCTGAGATAATGATTCCAAACCTCTCCAAGGCCAGGGGCTTAAGTGGTTCCTCTGCAAAATAAAACCTAAGAACTCTACTTTGTATCAGGATTCCAGGTGCTGGCACCTTGACAATAATATCACCTACAATAATACTTGTGATGTGATTCTGGGAGGTGGCATGGCTGCCTCTCAGGTAGTGCTGCCTGCAGTTACCAGATGTACCTGGCTTTGGCAGAGAGAGCTTGAGGGCTCTTTCCCATCTCCTCTCACCCTCAGCACCTGCAGGACACCCCAGGTGCTCTCAGGAGCCACCTACTAACATCTCCTTTGCCAGTGAAAGACGAGGTACGTCAGCCCCCATCTCCTCCCCCTTTCCCTGCAGATCGTGAGCCTTTTATCCTCCCGGTTGCCTTCCCAAGAGATGAATATTTTAAAATCCTCCTTTTTGCTATTTTACGCAAAATACATCAAATGTTAAGTATGTGCCAAAGTGTCCTTTTGATGTTTTCTGTCTTCTCCATGCTTAGCCTTCCTGGGCTCAGCAATTGATGCAGGAACATGCCTTTACTTCCATGGAGGCAGCCCTGGGCTGGCTGAGCCCGAGCAGGTGAGATTCTTCCCTGCATCAAGCGCAGCTCATGTGGAGCTGCTGGGTAATTCATTCCTTGCATATATCTCTGTTGATTTATTTATTAGACCCTGCACTCACAGGGACGGAGATCTGTGCTTCTGGAAATGCTCACACTGGCAGTGCTGGAGAGCAGCCATGATCCGGGCACCCAGCCACCTGCGGAGATGCTCGGAGACTGCCTTCGAGGCACCACACGCACCAATGCACCTGCTGGGAGGTGAATGTTGCTTATGCCTGGGTATGGCCTGGCTCCTGGAGACAAACCAGCTAAGAAGTGGGAATAAATGCAATAACTCAGGGCTTTCTAAGGAACCAGTGGTCTGGCAAATTTAGCTCCTAGAAATGATTCATACCAGGTATTACCCTGAAGACCTAAAGTCTAATGTACATTGCATTGTGCAAATCTATAGCATCAGGACAGATTGATTTCTTCCTGTCCCAGCTGACTAGACATGAGCCTCTACCCTGAAGCTAGGAGCCTGTTAACACACTTTTCTCTTCCTCAGTAGTACAACTTCAGGCTCTGTTCTTATTCAGAAAAAAAACCCACAAAATACTCAAAGGCAAATATAAAGAGAAGCTGTCAAAATACAACAAAAGGGAGAGACACTCAGAGGTCTTCTCTGTACCTCATTTGCTCTCATAAACACCCTCTGCTCCCATTCCACCTATGCAAGGTGGTTCCTCCTTCATCCTGACTCCTGCAGATTTCCACCTCCCACCTCCACATGTGCTCTGATGTTCCAATCTTCTCCATCTCTCAGCATCTCCTCCTCACCTTTAATGTTCACTTGCATGTGTGTCTGGGTCTTTCCCAAGGTCTCTCCTTCCTTCTGCTGCTTCTTTGCTTTTGGCTTCTTTGGGCTCGATCTCACCATGCCCTCCAAAGCCAGCTGTAGATTGCGATCTCCAGTTCTAGACAGGGATGAGAATCAGGTCAGCATCTAGTACCACAGGCCTTGTAGGAAGGACCTGGAGAAGGACCTCCAGATACTGGAGAGCAAGAGTCAATAAGAGCAATATAACATGCTCTGAATTGGCCTCCAGATCTCACTGAGCATGGTGGGACTCAGACACACCTCACATGGAGCCACCCACACTTAGACACCTGCATGGAGATGTCTGGACCTGGTATGGACCTGGACCCCAAACTCACCACAACATTGCTGGCAGAGCATCCAGTCTGGGTCATGCTGTGCATCACAGGAGGAAAACAGCTCATGGCCACAGTGCTGCTGGGCAATGTGCAAAGCTGTTTTCTCTGGTGTCCTCCTCGAGGAAGGGCAGAGCAGCTTCCAGGCTCAATTCCAGGTGTGCAGATCACTCAGCTCCTGGAGAATTTCCTGCCAAAAGCAAAGGTATGGCCATGACAGAGGTCACACTGCAGAGTCCCTCATTCCTGCCGTGGCCTTTGCAAGCTGAAAGCCAGCAGTGGCACATCCCGCTCAAGATGCTGTGTCCAAATGCACAATCACCCCAGATGTACAGAGCAGCACCAGGAAATCCAGCAGGCTCCCGCTGGTTTCCTTGCACAGACATAAACCACTCGTGTCTGGGACACTCATAAACACTGTTTTTCAGCTAATTACAATGGTAGCAGCTGTTACCATCTGAAGATCTGGCAGCTCTACTGAAGGTAGATGGTGGGTAGTTGATGTCAGTGTAAGTACCTTTAACGAACTGCAACCCGACACCTGGAAAAGGGGAAGCTGCCCCTTTAAAGATTCCAAACATTTTCCTCCACATAATGCTTGTTGATGGGACTGACTTCTCTGACTATTCCCTGGCTTCCCCTCCACGGATCAAAGACTCCATCTCATGCTGGAAGGATGGTATTTCCAAAGAACCTCCCCCAGAAGGGACCTGCTCACCCAGCAAACAAGCACAGGCACTGCTTGGCTCCACCACAGCATCGCTAGAAGCTGAAAATAGTGAAGGGCAAACCTTTGCTACCCAGCCGTTTGTTATTTTAACTGCTTTATTCAGATCTGACCACTAAAAAATTCATTACATCCAAAGTTTAATGAGAAATTAAATGGATGGATTGGCTGTAAACAGCCTGTGTGCGGGTGTGAGCGCTGCCAGAGGGGCTGTGGGCTAATGAAATGTTTAATGCTGAGGACTGCAGCGAGCTCGGGCGCAGCAGATGCCGGGTTTGGTGTATAAATAAGTGCAATGAAATGATCTCATGTTCTCTTGACACTTCCCTGAAACCCTCCTCCTCCCACAAAAAAAGCTTCAAACTTCTCCAGAACTTCCTGCAGTGAAGGCTCATCTCACACAGCGCCGTCTCCTCATCCTCCACCTCCTGCCTAAAGGGTCAGCCCTAGGCAGGGCTGGCTTTGCTCTCACATCGAGGCCGACCCTCATCATGAAGAGATGGTGAAGAGTTCATGTGAGGGTGCTGAGGTGCTGGCACAGGGTGCCCAGAGAAGCTGTGACTGCCCCATCCCTGGCAGTGTTCAAGGCCAGGTTGGACACAGGGGCTTGGAGCAAGCTGCTCTAGTGGAAGGGGTCCCTGCCCGTGGCAGGGGTTGGGACCAGGTGAGCTTTAAGGTCCCTTCCAACCCAAACCCTGATTCTATAATTCTATGAAATCCAGTCACTGGATAGAGGCTAATCTCTTGGCATTTGCTGAGGGAAGTCTGTCAGGCTCCAGGCTAGCCAAGGAAACCCACTTCAGTGCCTCTCTGACAGTGCTGTCTGCAGCTCCTTTGGGTAAGTGCATTTATGTTTTGGCAACCTCAGGGTCAGAGCTCTGGTCATCAAGGACCCTGCCTTCCTGCATTTCCCAAAGGAGCAGGAGTCCAAACAGCCTCAGGATCAAATCACAAGGAAAGCCAAGCAATTAAAACTCAGGGATGGCCAACATGAAGCAATAATGAAGCAATTACCCCTGAACAGGTCCACATTGAGCCCTGGGCACCAGGCACCCCAGGAAGCGCTGCAGAATGAGCAGTTTGCATAGAGCATCTCAGCTGCATAACTCACATTTGGGGTGAAAGAACAGGACTTGTCCTTAGATCAGATCAAATCAAGGCAATGTCAGGCAGTGGCCAAAGAGGTGGGTCTCTGCAATGTCATTGCTTACATAGAGGCTGGTGCACCCTTTAAACATCTTTGGCATCCCAGCTGATCACCTCTAGGTGATGCAAAAGCAGCGTCAAGTCCTAAGAAACTCGATACATCAGATGTGACAACTTGCAAGCAGTGTGACTGGGGATCAGGGCTGTGATCAAGGCCAAGAGCAAGTCAGCACGATGGCATTCACCTTCTGCATAAATCCTGCTCAGCAGATGTGTCTGGGTTAAGTGCTTGTAAGAAAGAGGAGGGATTTCCTGCTGTTTTCAGAAGGGAGAAGCAGGGATGTTTGGATTTTTTTCTATTACAATTCTTTAATCTCCTTGTAAAATTGGCTGCTAGGCTTGAAGCCAAAGGCAGATCCCAAGGGCATCCTTTAAATCAGAACAAAACCAGTGGAATTTGTTGCTCAGAGAGGGCAAGATTGCACTTGTGACCTTTATTTGTCACCTGATGGCCTGATCTGCTTTTCACAGTGAGCATGAGAGGAGCAGAGCTGGGGCAGGAGCCCTCCCTAGGCTCAGCCCAGCACACATTTGAATCTTTCCTTATGAGGTTCTCTCTCACTTGTTTGTTTGGAGGCAGAGCCACGTGTTCAGGCAGAGACTGGATTATCAAACACCCCTGCTTCCCATCGCCTCATGCTCCCAAATGACTTTTTGGTGGACACGTGGGACAATAGTCAGGGCACAGAGCAGAAGATGCATGCTGGAGCAGGACAGGCCTCAGGTTATTCCTTCACGTCCCACAGCATTATCAGAAGATGCCTTGGAGCCACGGTTGCTCCACATATCTGAAATGAATACAGAGTGAACACAATGTACTCCAAACAGATAAGCCTGTCTCCTGAGTGAGGTCTCAAATGTAAATGTGCACAAAAAGCACCACACAGCAGGGATTTTTGTTGAGGGTTCAAAATGAGGCTGCCTTAACCTAGAAGAGGGTAACATCATCCTTGGCAAGGCACACAGCCAGCACGCAGACCAGAAAGGGTGGCTAAAACACAGCAGTGGAAACTTGG